CTGTCCCTGCTGTGTCTGGAGTCGCCGCGCGGCCTCGGCCGTACTTCGTTCCGCTCCTTCAGCAGGTTCTTGGTCTCCCGCCTTCTACTGGTCCTCCTCCTCCCTTAGAGTGTCCACAGCCTGTCCCGTCACAGTTACAGTTACAGCCGGCCTCCCCACTGCCCGCTCCTTCTCCCTACACTGGTCCTACTGGAGGTCTTGCTGAGCGTCGTGAGCCTGCGTCTCGCCCTGCGTCGCCTGTCCGTGCTGCTCGCACTAGTGGTCGTGGTTCGCGTCAGCGTCCTCCTCCTGTCCCTGGCACGCACCGGATGTCTCTGCGTCCGTCCACTGCTCCTCTGCGTGCCCCTTTGCCTTCTCCTCCTGAGTTCTCTCTTCCTGCTCTTCCTGACCCGGAGTCGGACTCTCTTCGTGCTGCCAGTCCTACTGTCACGCGTCTCCTTGCTACTGTTGTCACTGACCCTTCCTTTGAGTCTACTGCTGCGTCTGCCCTAGTTACTGAGCTCGTCAACTTTGCTGCTCGCTGTCGTCTAGACTACGCTGCTAGTCTTGTTGCTGAGTCTGAGTCTGTCTGTCCTCCGTCCGTCGGGGGTGAGTGTGCCCTTGGCACGGACGTCCTTGAGGACAGGCAGGAGGAGTTCCAGTGTTTGGCTGCTGCTTCACCTCATCTCGTGTCCGTACTGCTTACCCCTGAGGGAGACCCGGATGCACTTGACATCCCGACTCCACGCTCTTACGCGGAGGCGATAGAGGGTCCCTACTCCTCTCAGTGGCAGGCAGCTATGGACGCAGAGATGGCTTCCTGGAAGTCCACAGGCACCTACGTTGACGAGGTTCCCCCGCCTGGGGCGAACATCGTCAGTGGCATGTGGATTTTCAGGGTGAAGCGACCGCCGGGTTCTCCGCCTGTCTTCAAGGCGCGTTACGTGGCTCGTGGCTTCAGTCAGCGGCAGGGAGTTGACTACTTTCATACCTTCTCTCCCACCCCGAAGATGACCACTCTTCGGGTACTGCTGCACATAGCTGCTCACCGCGACTACGAGCTGCACTCTCTTGACTTCAACACTGCTTTCTTGCAGGGCAGCATGCACGAGGAGATCTGGCTGCGTCGCCCACCTGGCTTCACTGGGTCTTTTCCTCCTGGCACCCAGTGGAGCCTCCGGCGGCCAGTCTACGGTCTCCGCCAGGCACCGCGTGAGTGGCACGACACACTGAGGACTACACTTGTGGCTCTTGGGTTTGCTCCCTCTACTGCCGACCCGTCGCTGTTTCTGCGCACCGACACTTCTTTGCCGCCGTTCTACATCCTCGTGTACGTCGACGACTTGGTCTTCGCCACAGCTGACACTGCTGGACTCGCCCACGTGAAGTCCGAGCTGCAGAAGAGACACACGTGCACAGACCTGGGTGAACTGCGCAGCTACCTTGGCTTGCAGATCACCCGGGACAGAGCACGCCGCACCATTACCCTGACTCAGTCACACATGGTGCAGCAGGTCCTTCAGCGCTTCGGCTTCACGTACTCCTCGCCTCAGGCCACTCCTCTGCCTACTCGCCACTCGCTCTCAGCTCTGCCTTCGGATGAGTCCGTAGAGTCGAGTGGCCCGTACCCAAAGCTTGTTGGCTGCCTCATGTACCTGATGACCTGCACACGACCTGACCTTGCATACCCTCTTAGCATTCTTGCACGCTATGTTGCTCCTGGGAGATACAGACCGGAGCACATGGCTGCAGCGAAGAGGGTGTTGCGCTACTTGTGCAGTACGTCGGGCATGGGGCTTGTGCTTGGAGGGCAGAGTCCAGTGGTCCTCACTGGGCACGCAGACGCTTCTTGGGCTGACGACCAGGCTACGCAGCGGTCGTCACAGGGTTACACCTTCAGCCTTGGTTCCGGCTCTGTTTCGTGGCGGGCTACCCGCTCGTCTTCTGTTCTCGGCTCCAGTTGTGAGGCTGAGATCTACGCCGGGGCCATGGCTGCACAGGAGCTTCGCTGGCTCACCTACCTGCTGACCGACCTCGGAGAGCCGCCTCGTTCTCCTCCAGTACTGTACGTAGACAACAAGGCCATGCTGGCCTTGTGTCGAGAGCAGAGACTGGAGCACAGAACGAAGCACATTGCTCTCCGCTACTTCCTTGCTCGTGAGCTACAGCAGCGTGGTCAGCTGCGGCTTGCGTACATGGCCTCTGAGGCCAACACTGCTGATATCTTCACCAAGGCACTTGCGCCTTGTGATCATCAGCGCTTCTGTACTCAGCTGGGTCTTGTGCCTACCTTGCCTCACTTGCTCACCCCTTGACCTTGTTTGTACTGTTGCATATATATATACACCTGCTCTTGCTTGTCTAGCCTTATATATATATGTAATCCTGCATGTGAACTGGCCTTGTGGCCTTGAACTTGTGCTCGGAATGTGTGGTGACTTTGTGATCCACCCTGAGCTTGCTTTGCTTTGCTTGACTGGTCTTGTGACCCCTTGTTCTCCCCCACTTTGCCTATGGGGGTGTGTCAGATTTATATGACATAGCTACTGTAGGCTATAGTGGGGTAGCACATATGGGGTACAATTGTCTAGGGTTTGCTTTTGTACCCAACTTTCCCTTAGTCAATTCATTCCTCATTTCTTCACACCGCGCGCCCTGCCCTGCCCGCGCGCCGCGCTGCCGCGCGCCCTGCCTTGCCCGCGCGCCGCGCCGCCGCGCACCCTGCCCTGCCCGCGCGCCCTGCCGCGCGCTTCTGCCCTGCCAGCACGCCGCGCCGCCGCGTGCCTCTGCCCTGCCCGCGCGCCGCGCCGCTGTGCGCCCTGCCCTGCCCGCGCGCCGCGCAGCCGCGTGCCATGCGCTGCTCGCGCGCCGCGCCACGCGCCCTGCGCTGCCCGCGCGCCGCGCCGCCGCGCGCCCTGCCTTGCCCGTGCACCCTGCTTGAGCACCGCGCCCTGCCCTGCCGTGCGCGCCTTGTCCTACCACGCGCCGCTCACTACTGCACTGCTGCTAGCGCGCTCACCTGCCTAGCCCTGCCTGCGTGCTGCTCGGCTGCTAGCGTGCCCGACTGCTCTGCCCGCTATGGCCACTCTCAACGTTCTCACCTTCGATTCGGAGGGCCGCCCGATAGAGTTCAATGCGTGGCTAGACAACTTACATCTGTTCCTGCTGACAGACTCTAAGGACGGTACTTCGCTGTTTGACCTCACTTTGGCGCCTCGCCCGCCCCTGACGCCATAGCTGACAGTGCGACTCGCTCACAGTGGCTTACCCGTGACGCTGCTGCTCGCCTAGCCGTTCGCAACCACCTGCCGTTAGCCGAACGCGCCCACTTTGGCCAGCATAAGACAGCTAGAGCGCTGTACGAGGCTGTAGTCGCTCGTTACTCCTCCCCGGCCACTGCTGCTCTAGGCCGCCTTCTCCTGCCCTACCTGTTCCCAGAGCTGTCCGCCTTTGCCACAGTAACCGACCTAGTCACTCACCTCCGCACTAGTAACACTCGCTACCGTGCAGCGCTCCCCGCCGACTTTCTCGCCAAGAACCCTCCCCCCATGTACATCACGCTCTACTTCATAGTCACACGCCTCCCTGACTCTCTTACCGTAGTCAGGGACCTCATTCTCGCACTTGACCCCACCGACCTCACTGTCGACCTGCTTGAGAAGCACCTCTTAGCAGCTGAGACTAGCATAGTCGCTGTAGGCGCTTCTTGTGGCACTCCTCGCACCCCCTTCTTTGAGGGGTGTTCGCCCTCCTCCCTTCTCCCCTCAGTCGCCTCTGCTGCAGCTGTTGACTACCTTCGTGCTGAGGAGGTAGGAGCTGCGTCTGCCCCTAGTGGGAGGCGCCGCAGCGGCAAGGGCAGGGGAGGCAGGAGTGGTGGGGGTGGCAGAGGTGGAGGCGGTGGTGGGGGCGGTGGAGGCGGTGGAGGGGGCGGCGGTGGAGGAGGTGGTGGTGGTGGGGGCGGAGGGGCAGGTGGCGGCGGTGGTGGCGGCAGTGGGAGTGGTGGAGGCTGCGGTGGTGGCGGTAGTGGGGGTGGAGGCGGCGGCAGTGGTGGCGACCGGGGTGGTACCAGCCAGAGGGGAGGCCTTGGAGGTGGCCAGAGGCAGCAGCAGCGTCAACCTCTTTCGTCTCAAGAGCTCCGTGAGTGGTTTGCTCAGCGTGGGGTGGTTGGGGGTGGAGGTCGCTGCCCGTATGTCATTCGTACAGGCGACCGCACTGGTCAGACATGCGGGCTGCCTCACACGCAGCACCGCTGCTTCTCCCGTCTTACCGACGCCTTTCGCGCAGAGTTTCCCGACGCGCCTGAGGTCCCTCACTGGGCAGAGCTGCTTAGGCAGAATGTGGATATCTTTGCTCTGGACTTTGATGCTATCCTATCTGCCATGTATGCATTGACTGTTAGTGCGGAGGGTGACTGTTACCTGTGTATGCCGCCAGACCCAGGTATAGAGGCTGCTGCTCTAGGTGCTAGTGAGTCTGCTGCTCTAGGTGCTGGTGAGTCTGCTCTCTCTGGTACTGCGTCTGCTGCAGCCCTGCACACCTTCACGCTTGACTCAGGTGCTTCCCGCCGTTTCTTTCGCGAGAGTACCACAGTCACACCGCTCTCTGCACCTGTTGCTGTCTCTTTGGCTGACCCCTCTGGGGGCCCAGTCCTTGCACGTTCCTCCACTTTTCTGCCTTGTCCGGCGGTTCCGTCTGGGTCACTGTCAGGTCTCCACCTCCCCTCGTTCTCTACGAACTTGGTGAGCACTGCTGTCCTCCAGGATGCGGGGGTTGAAACCTTCACCCCTGGACGGCAGCGTGTGGTGATCTGTACGTGCTCCCGGATCGGTCTCCACCTGGCCACGTTCACACGTCGGCCTGGGTCAAGTCTGTACACACTGACTACTGCGCCTCCTCAGGTAGCTGCGTCTGCGTCTGCGTCAGGTCAGCTTGCTGCCCCCTGCTCGTGTCGCGCCCTGTCGCACCAGACGCTCCTTTGGCACCACCGCCTTGGTCACCCCTCTGTGGCACGCCTCCGTGGCATGCACTCCCGTCTCCTTCTCTCTGGTCTTCCTAGGTCTCTGCCTCCCCTCTCGCCTGCCCCTCCCTGCCTTCCCTGTGTCGAGGGGCGGCAGCACGCTGCTCCTCACTCCTCCTCGTTCCCCCCGACAGAGGCTCCCCTGCAGACTCTCCACCTGGACGTGTGGGGCCCAGCCCGCGTCCGTGGACAGGGCCACGAGCGGTACTTTCTGCTGGTTGTCGACGACTACACGCGTTACACCACGGTCTTCCCCTTGCGCCGCAAGGGGGAGGTCCCTGGTGTTCTGATCCCTTGGATCCGCGCTGTTCGTCTCCAGCTCCGCGCTGCGTCTGCACTCTGACAGAGGTGGTGAGTTTTCCTCCGACCTTTTGCGGGCCTTTTGTTGAGCGGAGGGCATTCGCCAGACGTTCACGCTTCCGGCCTCTCCGCAGCAGAATGAGGTCGCCGAGCGCCACATTGGCTTAGTCATGGAGGTTGCTCATACCTCTATGATCCATGCGGCTGCCCCCCATTTTATGTGGCCGTTTGCAGTCCAGTACGCTGCGCATCAGCTCAACCTCTGGCCCCGTGTCTCCTTGCCGGAGACCTCGCCCACACTGCGTTGGACGGGGGAGGTTGGCGATGTGTCGGTGTTCCGGGTCTGGGGATGTCGAGCCTTTTTCCGCGATACGTCCGCGGACAAGCTCTCCTCCTGCGCTGTTCCCTGTGTCTTCCTTGGCTTTGTCCCTGACGCGCCTGGCTGGCAGTTTTACCACCCCACCTCGCGTCGTATCCTGCCCTCTCAGGACGTCACGTTTGACGAGTCGGTTCCCTTTTACCGTCTCTTCCCCTACCGCACTGCCCCTCTCCCTCCCCCGCCGCTCTTCCTCGCACCAGGTCCTCCTCCGGTAGACCCCCTCCCCCCTCAGGGTTCCTGCTCCCTCAGGTGTGTCTCAGGTAGACCCTGTTGAGGTAGCTGTCGACTCTGGTGCTGCTAGAGGTGCTACGTCTGGGGGTGCTGCGCCTGCGGGTGCGGGGCCTGGGAGTGCTGAGCTTGAGCGTGCTTAGCGTGGGGTTGCTGAGTCTGAGGGTGCGGAGCCTGGGGGTGCTGAGCCTGAGCGTGCGGAGCCTGGGGGTGCTGAGCCTGAGCGTGCGGAGCCTGGGGTTGCTGAGCCTGGTGCTGAGCCTGGGGGTGCTGAGCCTGGGGGTGCTGAGCTTGGGGGTGCTGAGCCTGGGGGTGCTGAGCCTGAGCGTGCTGCGCCTGGGGGTACTTTGTCTTCTGGAGGTCCTCCGGGTGTCTTGTCCCGTCGGGAGACGCTCTCTCCACCGCAGCTGCGCAAGTGGTTTGCTCGGCGCTGGAGCCTCCGGACTGGTACTGCTGGAGCTAGAGCTGCGGGAGGTGCTGGAGCCCCTGGTCCCGGAGGTGCTCCTACTGGAGGTACTGGAGCTGCTGGGGCTGGGGGTGCTGTTGGTGCTGCTCGAGGTACTGCTGGAGCTGTGCTGCTGGAGGTACTGGAGCTACTGGAGCTGGAGGTGCTGCTGGAGCTGGAGGTGCTGCTGGAGCTGGAGCTGCTGGAGGTGCGACTGAAGCTGGTGCTGATAGAGGTACTGGAGCTGCGGGGGCTGGAGGTGCTGCTGGAGCTGGAGCTGCTGGAGGTACTGGTGCTGTCGGTGCTGGTTCTGGAGGTGCTGCGCGACCGCGACCGTACTTCGTTCCCCTGCTTCATCAGGTTCTTAGTCTCCCGCCTGCTACTGACCTTACTCCTCCCTTACTGTGTCCACCGCCTGACCAGTCCCAGCCGCAGTTACAGCCAGCCTCCCCACTGCCTGCTCCTTCTCCTTACGCTGAGCTTCCCGGAGGTATTACAGAGCGTCGTGAGCCTGCGTCTCGTCCTGCGTCGCCTGTTCGCGCTGTTCGCACTGGTCGTCGTGTTCCGCGTGAGCGTCCTTCTCCTATCACCGGCACGCACCAAATGGCACTTCGTCCTTCCTCTGTTCCAATGCGTGTCCCTCTACCGTCTCCTCCTGCGTCCTCCTTTGCTGACGGTCCGGACCCGGAGTCTGACTCCCTTCGTGCTGCTAGTCCTACTATCACGCGTCTCCTGGCCTCTGTTGTCACTGACCCTTCCTTTGAGTCTACTGCTGCGTCTGCTCTTGTTGCTGAGCTGGTTGACTTTGCTGCCGCCTGTCGTCTAGACTACGCCGCTAGCCTTGTTGTTGAGTCAGAGTCTGTCTGTCCTCCGTCCGTCGGGGGTGAGTGTGCTCTTGGCACGGACGTCCTTGAGGACAGGCAGGAGGACATTGAGTGTTTTGTAGCTGCTGTACCTCATCTCGTGTCCATGCTGATTGCACCTGAGGGAGACCCGGATGCACCAGACATCCCGACCCCGCTCTCTTACGCAGAGGCGATAGAGGTTCCCTACTCCTCTCAGTGGCAGTCAGCCATGGACGCAGAGATGGCATCCTGGAAGTCCACAGGCACTTACGTCGACGAGGTTCCCCCACCTGAGGCGAACATCGTCAGTGGCATGTGGATTTTCAGGGTGAAGCGGCCGTCGGGTTCTCCGCCTGTCTTCAAGGCGCGTTACGTTGCACGAGGCTTCAGTCAACGACAAGGAGTTGAATTCTTCTAGACCTTCTCCCCTACCCCGAAGATGACCACTCTTTGGGTACTGCACGTCGCCGCTCAGCATGACTACGAGCTTCATTCTCTTGACTTCAGCACTGCTTTCCTACAGGGCCCACGTGAAGTCGGAGCTGCAGAGGAGACACACATGCACAGACCTGGGTGAGCTGCGCAGCTATCTTGGCCTGTAGATCACCCGGGACAGAGCACGGCGCACCATTACCTTGACTCAGTCACACATGGTGCAGCAGGTCCTTCAGCGCTTCGACTTCCAGTACTCCTCGCCACAGTCCACTCCTTTGCCTACCGGTCACTCGCTCTCAGCTCTGCTTTCGGATGAGTCCGTAGAGCCGAGTGGCCCGTATCCAGAGCTTGTGGGCTGCCTCATGTACCTGATGACCTGCACTCGACCTGACCTTTGTCACGATTCTAATCTGAATGTATAGCAGTAGATATATCATCGTGACTAATAGCTTAGAAAGAATACTACAGTAGGAGAGAAACAAGTGCATCTGAAGTCAGGCGAAGCGACTCAACCAAAAGGGTAAGGAATTGGCGGGCGAGAGAGAGCCGTTGGGTAAACGGTAACCCGTCGGTAGTACTTAGGAAGTAGGTTAGCCTTGGTAGGATTGCTTGCGTGATTGTTTTCACACCTATGCTTACAATTCCAGCTTTACGACCGAACTAAGCACGAGAAACCAAAGACGCAAGCATTCCAGATCCATTCGTTTATCTACTCAATCTGCCGAGCTAGGGTTTGTATAGTTAGGTACAGGCCGTAGTACGGAAGATATTCAACAATCACGCAAGGTTTTTAGATGCATCGTCGAGATTTTCTAAGGACGCGACTGTGGTCCGATATCGATGAGTTGAAGCCTGCAGCAGAGAGACGGGCGGGATTCGTATCCGCGCAAGGAGGCATCAGGGCGATACACGGCGAGTCCAATTCACCAAAGTACCGGACCCCACACCAAAGAGCTCGCGGGGCGGGAGATAGCATGGAACGGGTACGAACCGTCGTTTCGGATCTGGGAGACACCCCGCTCGACTCTCGCTGGACTGAGAAAATTCGTGAACGCTGGAAGAGCCAAGAAGCCGCGACCCCGCCGACCGGAATGCCAGGGATGCAGCCGAGGAAGGATCGGCCGGACACCCGCTGGATGCCGTCGGAAAACCCCACACCGGGGCCAACGCAAGGGAGAGCGCTGATACACAGTGGCGCAGCGGGCGCCCCGGGCGAGTCGCCAGCAGGACCCAGCTCCGTTGGCGCTCGGTGGAAGGCGACCAACTTGCCCAAAGTGGAGGTGGCGGAGCGATATACAGGCATTCCGGGCGTGGGGCCTAGCCTAAAGAATTACCTTATGCAGCTCGAGACCGTGCAATACTGTTGGGAGCGCGACGGATATGACCCGGCCGAGTTCTTCCGGAAGATGGTGGGGACGGTGGCGGGCGAGGCCGAGACGTTCTACCGCCTGACCCGAGACGACGTTTTAGGAGAGTTGGCGGATGGAGAGATAGACAACCCGACAGCCCGCTTCGTGCAGCTGCTGCGGAAGGAGTTCGCGGGGCAGACCAAGGCGCGCGTAGAGGAATTCCGGGAGTTCCGCCGAAAAAGGGAAGAATCGCTGCTGGCTTATTACTGCCGACTCCGTGAACTGGCTGAAGACCTCGAAAGCACGGACGAACGCCTGTTGGTGCGGAAGTTCGTGCGAGGGCTGGAGGAAGAACTGAGAGGGGTGGTGCGGAGCACCGTATACAACATCGGCGCCGACATTACGCTCAAAGAAGTCTACATGCTGACGAAGAAGACGGAACAAGCGCAACGACTGCTGGACTTAGAAGACTCGGAAGGAAAGAGCCGGGCGAAGACAAGTTGGGCGGCAGTGGCAGTACCCGACTCTGCATCTGGGGGCAGCAGTCGAGCGGACCCGCGGCTTTGTCACACCTGCGGAGAGCACGGGCACTTAAGGCGGGACTGCCCCAACGCGCCGACCTGCGAGCAATGCGGGAAACGTGGACACAAGAGGGAGGACTGTTACAGCCGACCGAAGGACGCGCAGGGAGCAACGCGAGAGGAGCTCCAAGCCGAGGTCCGGCGGCTGCAGCTGAGGCTGGAGCAGCTACCTATTCAGAAGGAAGTAAAGGCGCGTGCGATGTTGGCGTACGAAGAAGTGGACGACGCTGAGGAAGAGGACGAGGAGGAATACACGCGGGAGTACGCAGCCATGGCGTATCCCCGGTCCCGAGACGACCTCCGATTACGACCACGGGCTAGTCAGTCCCAGAGCAGTGAAGTGACGAGCGGAACCCAGCCACGCGGCAGTCAAGCGGAAGGACCGCTGCTCTCGGAGATGAGGCGGCACCCGAATGAGAGACTGGTGTGCCAGGCGTCCGTGTTGATTGCCGAAAAGGGGAGTCTTACGGTGGGAGGCCTGCCAGTGAAGCAAGCTATCATAGACACTGGCGCGCATCACGTGCTCATAGGCAAAGGACTCGCTAAACAACTGAAGCTGGACGTATCCGGGCGTACCATGGAGCGGGGAATCCTACTCATGATGGCTGAAGGAGGAGAGCCGAAGTGGATGCCGAAAACCAGGCGGCCGGTGGAGGTGGTGCTCTTACCAGGGACGGAGAAGGAGTGTTGCATACGGCTGCGGTGCGGTGTCTCGGAGTCTGAGGACTATGACGTCCTCGTAGGGATGGAGCTCCTCTATCTAGTAGGGGCTACTATATGCACGTGGCAGGAGAAGGTGCTCTTCCGCGTGCAATACTGGGACCCTGAGAGCCCCGTAGGCACGCTGCCGGTTCGGTTTGTGCGACAGGAGCCACAGGAAGCGTACCAGGCACGAAGGAAGGACCTGACAGAGGAGCTGGAAGATTGGACATGGGAGACATATGAAGCGGAACACGAGAGGCGGATCGAGAGGCGGATATTGGGACAGAGCCCGCCGGACTTGACAGAGCGGGTCAGCCGGGTGCAGGCTTTAGACGTGCCGGTACGCGTCTTAGAGTTGTACGGAGGAATAGGGACAGGCCTGGCAGCAGCATTACGAGCGGGATGTACTGTCAAGAAATGGATCCACGTCGAGCGAGACCCCGCCGTACGGAAGATGGCGCGCCACCATGCCGAGCTGCTCCGGGATGAATACCCAGATCAAATGTGGGAGGACGCGCTTTCATCCGAGTTGGAGCCAGCGGTGCATGACGTCAGGGATATTTCCGAGGACGTACTGGAGAGCTGGGGGCATATAGACTTGGTCATTGCAGGGTGGGAATGCCAGGGGTACTCTAGAGCAGGAGAGGGTCTGGGGATGGACGACGCGCGGGGAGCCTCGTTCCGGGACTTGCGGCGGGTGTTAGAGCTGATTCAGCAGAGGCAGGGAGAGGTTGCCTACATTCTGGAGAATGTGGACCTAGCCGAAGATAAGCGAGAGCCAGTGAAGAGAGCATTCGAGGAGATCGCAGGAGTCGTGGGGCGAGGAGTACCAGTCGACGCCGCGCAGCTGGGGTCGCGAGCACATCGACCGAGGCGGTATTGGCAGAATGTGATGTCTACCGCAGCGCTGCGCCACTCACTGGCGCTGATGCAGCGGCCAGAACCGCGCTTAGTGAGTGACATTCTGGAGCCCCACCGCCTACCCGCGCCGGTGACGAGCGCGGATCACCCATCACAGTACCAGTGCAATGAGCCAGGCAAACCGCGGCAAGCGTTGCCCACACTCGTGTCCTATGCCGAAGCCCGCGGCTTCATCATGGAAGGTGATTTGCCGGGCCCAGGGATGATCTACGATGTGCGAAGGGGAGTTTGGGAGCAACCGATGGCGAACGAATGGGAGGCAGCCATGGGGCACCTGTGGGGGGCCACCGCTCATCCAGAGGTGACAGAGGAACAGCGCCGAGCCGCCTTGGGTCGAGCCATGGACGCGAATGTCATGACTTGGCTCCTAGACACAATGCGGATGCACCTAAAGGCGAAGGAGCTGCAGAGAGACATCGCGTGCGGAGAACGCTACCACGACCGAGAGACCGTTGAATGGCAGAAGAAGTCACTGGCGCGTATCGAAGAGAGGTATGACCTGAAGATGGATGAAGGGTGGGCAGCGTATATGGCCATGGAAGCAGCTGAAGGGATGGCTGAGGGAGATGGGGAGGCAGCGGAGTACCCGCCAGAGAAGCCGGAACGGGGGCCAGAAGAGGAGTGGATACTGGGAGGAGGAATGGATACCGAGTCAGGAGCAGCCTTGCAGGAGGTGCTGAGGCAGCATCGTGGGACTTTCGCGTACACTCTGCAGGAGCTGGGAAAGTGTACCACGCATGAGATGAAGATCGAGCTCACCACAGAGGTTCCCATATACCAACGGAAACGGCGGATGAGCCCGGGGGATCTAGACATCTGTACGGAGAAGTGTCGCGAGCTGTTGGAAGCAGGACTGATCCAGCATTCTGAGAGTGACTACGCAGCGGCTACCGTGGTAGCATCACGGAAGGATCTGACGGGGGCAGTCTCCGCGCGGAGGATGTGCGGGGACTATCGGAGTCTGAATAAGGTCACAGTGGCGGATAAGTATCCCATGCAGTCAGCCGAAGAAATCTTCGATAAACTGCAAGGGGCAAAGGTCTTCTCCACCCTGGATCTACGGCAGGGATTTAATCAGATCCCCATCCGAGGCGCCGATCGCAAGAAGACGGCATTCCATGGACCAGACGGCCCATACGAGTGGCGTTTCATGCCCTTTGGAATGAAAAACGCGCCCGCCTTGTTCCAACGGGTCATGGACACGACATTGCGCGGAGTGCCAGCGGCGGCCTGTTACATTGATGATGTAGTGGTTTTCAGCCCGGACGCCGCCCAGCATGTGAAGGACGTGCAGGCGACGCTAGACGCCATCAGGGCAGCAGGCCTCACGTGTCACCCTAAGAAGTGCAGCTTCGGGAACACAGGAGTGAAGTACTTGGGTTTCGAAGTTCAAGGAGGACAGCTGGGGATTCAGCAAGCGAAGGTGGAGGTCTTGGATAGGGTGCCGCAGCCGAAGGACAGAAGCACCTTGAGGGCAGTGCTCGGGTTCCTCAATTACTACCGGAAGTTCATCCCGAACTTCAGCAGGACCGCCGCAGCCTTGAATCGGCTGCTGAGGGAGGACCAGAAGTGGGAATGGGGAGAGGCAGAGCAAGCGGCTCTCCAGGCGTTGCTGAAAGCGGTGAAAACCGCTACGGTACTAACTCTGCCTAGTGCAGAGGACCCGTTCGTGCTGTACACCGACTGGAGCAGCGCGGGTATGGGGGCGATCCTTTGCCAGAAGCGGGACGGAGAAGAGAAGGTGGTCGCCTTCGCCAGCCGGAGTTGCAACCCTGCCGAGGCTAACTACAGCTCATACGAGGGAGAGGGGTTAGCGGCAGTGTGGGCCATCACGCACTTCCGTGTATACCTACAAGGGAGGCAGTTTGAGCTGGTGACGGACCACCAACCCTTAACGTGGCTGATGACTAACCAAGCGCTAACAGGGAGGAACGCGCGTTGGGCCATGCGGTTACAAGAATATGATTTCTCCATCCGGCACCGGGCAGGCAAGACCATGCAACACGTAGACGGGCTGTCGCGGAATCCGACAACGCATCGCCCCACCGCTTGCCTAGTGGCATTATCGAGGGAGTTAGATGCTGAAGGGGCCATACGGAAGAAGGAGACGGGGCCTGAGGATGTCTGGGAAGATCAGGAAGTGCTGGACTGGGTGCAAGGGAAGACCGCCGAAGGGACTACCACCAGCGAGCGAGCCAGGGCGAGAGGAGTTCACTATCGCTGGCACCAAGAGCAGCTGCAGAAGAACACGCGAGACAGATGGAAGATGGTCCCACGGCCCCAGGAGAGAGAGCATATCATCAGGACGGTACATCGGCAGCTGGGACATTATGGCAGTCTGCGCACCACGCAGCTAGTTGAGACCGGGTGGTGGTGGGCGGGGATGCGGAGAGATATCAGGGAGTGGGTGACTGGGTGTGAGCTGTGCAGCCGGAACAAAGCAGATCTAGAAAGGGGTAGAAAGGAGCTGCAGTCGCTGCCTATACACGGCATAGGGTTCCGATGGTCTCTAGACCTGGCGGGGGAGATGCCGCTGAGCAGGAAAGGGAAGCGCTACATCTTAATCATGATTGAGCATGGCAGCAAATGGGTCGAGGTGAAAGCCCTCCCCAGCAAGAATTCGGCTAAAATAGCGGAAGCGTTCGAGGAGCAGGTGCTCACCAGGTTCGGGGCGTGCGGGGAAGTGCTGACAGACCAAGGGACAGAGTTCATGGGAGAGTTCGACCAGTTACTGCGGGCCACAGGTATCACGCACAGGAGGACTTCCAGATACCACCCACAGAGTGATGGCCTCACAGAGCGATTTGTGCAGACTGTGAAACGGGGGCTGAGGGCATACGGCGAGCAGTTTAAGAGAGACTGGGACACACGGCTCCCGTGGGTAGCGGCAGGATACAGATTCAGTAAGCAAGCGGCATTACGAGACTTATCGCCGTATTACCTGCTCTTAGGGAGAGACCCAGTGATGCCCGTGGATGCGCCGAGAATTCTCACGGGATCAGTGCAAGTGGCCAGCGAGGAGGAATGGGTGGGGCTGGCCGAGGCGAGAGCAAGGTACTTGAGAGAACTGCTACCAGCGGCACTAGAGAACCTCCACGTGGCGCAACTGAGAGACGCACAGCGGTATAAGAAGAGAGGAGAACGGCAAGCAGGAAGGAGGGACCGGGCGCTGGTACCAGGGGAGGAAGTATACTTGAAGCAGGCGAAGCATGATCTGATGGACATCGGGCTGAGCACCGAGCGCTGGAAGGTGAAGGAGATCAAGGACTCTGGGGTAGTAGTGCTCATGAGCGCGCAAGGGCAGAGGAGAACCGATCATTGCACTAATGTGGCGCGGGCGAGAGGGAGGGCAGTGGACCAGACAGTAAGACAGACAGGAGACAAGGAGTTCCAGCGGCCGTCGGCAGGAGCCAGCAGACAACCGCGGAGGGGGCAAGTGGAGAAGGGAAGGGAACAAGGGGGAAGGACCAACAGAGAACTCAAGGCACTGATGAGTCCCACTTGACTGCATCAGAGAGAAGAGACAAGGCGGCAGAGCACAGGGAGCCAAGAGGAAGGGAAGTACACGAGCAGGCAGTGCGGAGCTGCATGATTCCGACACCTTGCTTACCCTCTTAGCATCCTGGCACGCTACGTTGCGCCCGGGAGACACCAGCCAAAGCACTTGAAGGCCGCTAAGAGGGTGATGCGCTACTTGTGCAGTACATCGGGCATGGGGCTCGTGCTTGGAGGACGGGCTCGAGTTGTCCTCATTGGTCACGCAGACGCTTCTTGGGCTGACGACTTGGATACGCAGCGGTCGTCACAGGGTTACACCTTCAGCCTTGGCTCCGGTTCTGTTTCGTGGTGGTCTACCCGCTCGTCTTTTGTTCTCAGCTCCAGCTGTGAGGCCTAGATCTACGCAGGGGCCACGGCTGCACAGGAGTTACGCTGGCTCACATACCTGCTGACCGACTTGGGAGAGCCGCCTCGTTCTCCTCCAGTTTTGTACGTCGACAACAAGGCCATGATTGCCTTGTGTGTCAGGAGCACAGACTGGAGCACAGGACGAAGCACATCGCTCTGCGCTACTTCCTTGTTCGAGAGTTGCAGCAGCGTGGTCAGTTTCGTCTTGTTTACGTTGCCTCTCAGGCCAACACTGCTGATATCTTCACCAAGGCACTTCAGCCTTGTGATCATCAGCGTTTCTGTACTGTTCTAGGCCTTGTGCCTACTTGGCCTCACTTGCTCACTTCTTGACTTTGCTTGTACTGTGATCTATATACTTATACCTGCATGCTTACACTTGCTAGGTTTTGATCACTGTACTGTTTGTTCTGCTGTATATAACTCTGCATGTGAACTAGCCTTGTGGCCATTTGCTTGTGCTCAGAATGCATGGTGACTTCGTGATCCACTCTGAGTTTGCTTTGCCTTTCTTGACTGGTCTTGTGACCTCTTGTTCTCCCCCACTTTGCCTATGGGGGTGTGTCAAACTTATATGCTGCTTATTGTGTAGGCTGTAGTGGGGTAGCCCATATGGGGTACAACCGAAATTAGGGTTTCCTACTTGTACCCATCCTGCTGCTAGTTCATCAATTCCTGTTCGTTATTCTGACAGTAAGTGCTTCGCATTTTTCGCACAAATCTTGCTTGTTCAATGCACCGCCTTTTCTATGTTGGAGCCGCGATTATCATAGTTGGCAGGCACCTCTAGGTTCTTGTAAGCGCCACCCGTGTTGAAAATGAAGAAAAACCTTTTGGTACCGATACGAGCTATAGACCGCAACCGGACGAATAAGGTGTATGAACATGTGGATCACAATAAGGGCTGCCAGCAGCATGCGTTGCCGCGACTTTTCTTTCCCCGATGTTCTTCCTTCCATGGTACCTCCACTTTCTCCCCCCTTTCCTCCAATTCTGTGTGAAGGTGGAGAAGGTGGAGGGGGAGGAGGGGGGCACGGCGTGGACGATGAGCATAGCAGAGATGCAGCTGCCTATTGGTTTGGGAGGGGAGGGAGTTGAAACATGCGTTGGGAACAAGTGGAGAGGTGAGTTGAGTTAAGAGGGAAAGCAGAATAGCATGGATGACGCGTACTGCAGAGGTGCAATTGCTGATCAAGTGAGTTGGGAGGAGGAATAGAGAGGACAATTGAGCAGAGAGATGCATTGGGAGCCTCGGACGTGGTGTCATTTGAGTTGTATTGGGATTAGATTGAGACAGTGGTGGCTTCAGAGCAACGGAGGAGGGCGGTACAACGCCACAGCTGGACAACGCGCATAGCGGAGGGTGCAGCTGCCTATTGAGTGGGTTGAGAGGGGAATAGAGAGATGCATTGGGAACATGTGATAAGGTGACTTGACTAGAGAGTGATTGCACTAAGAGCATTGAATTGGTTTGGTATAGACGACGGGCATTGCGGAGGTGCAGCTGCACATTGAGTGAGTTGGGAGGGAAGTTGAAAGATGCGTGGGGAGATGTATTGGGATGGGTGGAAAGAGATGAGGTGAGTTGGGAGAGTACATTGACACGACATGGTAGAGGCAACAGAGGAGGCAAAGCGCATGCTACATCATCTCGGTCTCTCCCCTTTCCCTTCCTTCCTCTCCCTTCTCCCCTCCTTCCTCACTCATCTCCCAGTTACAAGCTTAGAAACATCGAGGCCACTGAGGAGGTCAAGTCTGCTGCATCATCTGACCCCCCTCCCCTCCTCTTGTCTCACCTTTCCCCTCCTCCCCTTCCCCTCCTTGCCCCCCCTTCATCCCATTGCCTTAGCTGCAAGCTGGGCAACATCGAGGCTACAGAGGAGGCCAAGTGCATACTGGTCATCTCACTCTCTCCCGTTTTCCCTCCTCCCCCTTCCCCTTCCTCCTATTGATCTTCTCCCCTTACCCCCGCAATCTTCCTCGCAGCTACAAGCTGGGCAACATTGAGGCCACAGAGAAGGCAGAGAGCATGCTGCATCATCTGACTCTCTCCTCTCCTTTTGTCCCCCCTCCTCCTGTCCCCCCTTCTCTTGTCCCCCCTTGCCTCAATCTTCCTCGCAGCTGCAAGCTGGGCAACATCGAGGCTACAGAGGAGGCCAAGCGCATGCTGGATCATCTCACTCTCTCCCGTTTTCCCTCCTCCCCCTTCCCCTTCCTCCTTCTGATCTTCTCCCCTCACCCCCGCAGTCTTCCTGCAGCTACAAGCTGGGCAACATTGAGGCCACCGAGAAGGCAGAGAGCATGCTGCATCATCTGACTCTCTCCTCTCCTTTTGTCCCCCCTCCTCCTGTCCTCCCTTGCCTCAATCTTCCTCGCAGCTACAAGCTGGGCTACATCGAGGTCACAGAGGAGGCCAAGCGCATGCTATATCATCCGACTCTCTCCCTTTCCCTCTCTTCCCCTTCCTCTTCCTGCACCCCCTCCTTGCCCCCCTTTATCCAATGCCCCCAACTACAAGCTGCGCAACATCGAGACTACGGAGGAGGCCAAGCGTATGATGCAGGAGAGAAGGCCGTGGATGAAATGTCCGCGATATGGCTTGTTTCTTCCCTGTGGAGGGGGAATCGAAAACAGGAATGGGGGCAAGGGAGGAATGGAGATGGGGGGAAGGGAGGAGTATGGTTACTTATATATACATATATATATATATATATATGCGGAAAGTGGAAGCGAACTCGGGTGTGCGGAAAGCGAAGTCAGGTGTGCGGGGAGGGGGGACGCAGGGCGACGTGCAGGTCGACGGGGACGGGCGCACGGGTCCCCGGGGGCGTCGCGCGGGTCGACGGGGCCGCCGCGAAGGGCGACAGGGAGCCGCGCGCGGGTCGACGGGGCCGCCGCGAAGGTCGACGGGGAGCCGCGTGCAGGTTGACGGGGCCGCCGCGAAGGGCGACGGGGAGCCGCGCGCAGGTCGACGGGGACGGGCGCGCGGGTCGACGGGGGGCGCCGCGACGGAACGCGAAACTGCCGCGCGCGCCCAGGGTGCGCGGCGGGCAGGAAACCGCCCACGTCCCGAGCGCATGGCAGGCAGAAAACCGCCACGCGCCCCGAGCGCGTGGCGGGAAGAGAAAAATGAACATCGCACGCCACAGGGCGCGCGACAGACAGTATGGCAGCGGAAGCAGGCGGGCCCACAGGCCAGGAGCGTAACCGCTCTGATAGCATGTCACAATAGTAGTAAGAATGAAGGAGCCATAGCCAGGGTTTAGCTAGCTAGGCAAGAGAGAATAGGCAAAAGAGGAGAAGAGGGTTTGACTAGAAAGGAGGGAGGTACAAATAGCAAGCCCTAAAAGGGTTATACTCACTATTGAGTACCCCACTACAGACTAGACAAGCATTATATTATGACATTGCGTTGTGCTGCTGGGGCGAGATTGGCTGCAGCGATTTAATCCGACAATCGACTGGACGACGGGATCATGCATAGTACCTGTCAACAAGGGACGTGTGACGCTTTCGAAAAGGACAGAGCCGGAGCCGCGATATGTGTCAACGCAATCATGGTGACAAGAGCGATAAGACGGGGAGCGCATGCCTAAGCCGTACAGATGTACGAAGTGGCTGCATCCGAAAAAAATAATCGCCGATATTGACACGCTCTACACTGCTATACCAGAGGACCTGGCGAGCATAATCCAAAGGTACCCTAAAATTTTTGTGGATGACCTTCCCGACGGGCTGCCTCCTCAGCGGCCAGAAGACCACATGATCGAGCTGGAGCCTAGCGCGCAACCAACTGTTCTATCATAGTGGCGGAAACAATTGGATTATCTGCTCTCGAAGGGTTTTATCAGGCCGAGCGCGCCACCCTTCGTTGTCCTGTTATTGTTTACACCGAAGAAGGATGGAGACCTGCGCATGTGCATCGACTATCAAGCGCTGAATCGGATCACTATCAAGTCGCGTTACCCTATTTCGCGAGCGGATAACCTGTTGGATCAGCTTCGCGGGGCCCGGTATTTCTCGATAATCGATCTGCAACATAGCTACCATCAGATTTGAGTGTTTGCCGACGACTGCCAGAGACTGTGTTTCGCACTCGATATGGGTTACGAGTACACTGTGATGACGTTCGGCCTGATTAACGCACCCTCGACGTTCCAGCTGACCATGAACGGGGTGTTCGAAACATGCTCGACAGAAAGGTTATCGTTTACATGGGCAACATCCTGGTGTACAGCAAGACTCGGAAAGAACATTTCAAGGACTTGGAGGAGGTGTTACGGTGCTTGCAGAATCGGCTAATTACTCAGGGCTCTAAGTGCGAGTTCCTGAAGCTGGAGCTGGAGTTCCTGGGGCACGTGGTTTTAGGGGAGGGTATTAAAATTGACCCTCGTAAAGTGACAGCAATCTTACAGTGGAAGCCGCCTACGAACATCACGGAGTTGCAGAGTTTCCTCGGGTTTATGAATTACGTCCGCCGTTTTGTACCGAATATGTCGGGGGTAACCAAGTCGTTAACCGACCTTCTGCACAAAGGCGCGCCATTTTTGTGGGGGGAGAGAGAACACTCGTCCTTCGATGAGCTCAAAAACATGTTGAGTTCACCCCCTGTGCTTCAGCATACGGATCCATCTCGACCGTTTGAAGTTGTAACGGGCGCCAGCGATTTCGCCGCCGGCGTCGTCCTACTACATGACTTCGCCAACGTTCTGCAACCCATCGCGTACGAGTCACGCAAAAAACAGCCACCCGAGCGCAAATACCCTGTCAACGATAAAGAAATGCTGGCAATTGTCCATGCATTTCGTACCTGGCGCTGCTATCTCACGGAAGCCGACGTTACGATCAAGACAGATCACAAATCTTTACAGTACATGCGCAGCAAGCCACAGTTCAACCAACGACAACACAGGTGGCTCGACTACCTAGAATCAATTTCCGCTACACCATCACGTACAAGAAGGGCGCCAACAACATCGCCGATGCCCTGACCCGTCCATCAATGCAGACTGCCGCTATACTCATCGCCTACTCCAACCCGCTATTATCAGGACTATTTTCTCACGGGTACAATATTGATGGCTTCTTCGAGCGAAATCAACACCTTCGGGCCACGACGCAACACGGAAGTTATTACCTAAAAACAAGTACGAACGGGGTTTGGGTCTCGTCATACCGGGCCTTACTAGAGTTGCTGGCGCAGGAGGTTCACGACTCTAACCTCTCGGGGCATTTCGGCATCGACAAAACACCGAAGCTACTGCAGCGAAATTATTATTGGCCCGACATGGCGTCGGACGTGCGGCGCTACGTGACAACCTGCCCGACCTGCCAAGCCATGAAGTCGTCGCGACAATGCCCAACTGGATTGCTGCAGCCACATGAGCCACCCGAATGACCGTGGCAACAGATGACGATGGATTTCATCACAGGACTGCGCGCTGGCGCAAGTGGCAACGACTCGGGTTTGGTCATCGTTGACCGACTAACAAAAATGGCGCATTTCGCACCATGCCGCACGGCGATCACAAATGAAGAAACAGCAAAGTTGTTCATCTCAACTACCGTATGCCTACACTGGTTACCTCTGGCGATCATCAGCGATCGGGATCCAAAATTTACAGGAGACGTGGGCACAGCACGGCACTCACAAGCACTTTTCGTTGCCGTACCACCCGCAAACCGACGGTCATACAGAACGGACAAACCAGATCATGGAGCAGTTGATTCGAACCAACTTCCCCGACCTGACCAAATGGAAAGATTCACTCCTGATGCTAGAGTTGCGTATCACAACTCACCCTCCACGACAACCAATCAGTCGATGTTCTATCTTAATTACGGGATACACCCCGTGGTACCCTCATCAACGACCCCCGAAAAAATCCGGTACCACGATCCCAGGAGTTCGTATCGGAACTTCTGGCAACTCGCGACAAAGCGGTTGAATTTATCCGAAAGGCTAGTACTGCCGCTAGCCTTCGAATACTCGAAGGGATTTACCCTTCTATGACAGGCAGATGGTCCTCCTGGACACGAAGAATCTTCGACTGCCCCAACCAGCAAAATGCGTCCCTGTTACGTAAGACCCTTTCGCATCATTAAGATGCTGACACCTGTCACGGGGAAGTTGTTGCTACCGGATGATTTGAAAATCCACGATGCCTTCCACGTCAGTTTACTACGCCAATACGTGGCACCGCAGTCATTCGATATCGTCCGCCCCAACATCGCGCCAAGTATTCGGTCCGTGGCAGATCGACAGTTCAGCCCTGGAAGATTTTGAATCATCGCGTGTGTGCAACGCCGACAGGACGCCACGTTGATTTCCTCCTGCAATGATTCGATCGCACAATTGAAGGTGACACGTGTAGTTGGAGCTCCCGTCCATGCAAAGTGCTGCAACATTCTGCGGCCCCACCTTCTCTATGATGGGGCAGAGGAGGGACGCAATGTAACCCCTGGTTTTTTACTCCAGATTGTAGTCGATCGCCTCATCAAACACCGCTCCTGAGTCGTTGACAAACGTTCGCTTGCGGCCTCCCATTCTGATCGGTCATCATGTCTGAGGAGACAGTCATGGCATCCCGCTTCCAGCTTGCGACGATTGGAAGAAGACCCTTCTCAATGCCCGTGTGACACAGCTTAAGCCCAGCCCCTCCCACGTAGCGACGCCACGGTGGGATGTAACAAGGGCCTGCCTTGGCAATTGCCCTGACCATATTGCACCACAACGGGTGGTCGGCGTGGTGCTCAGGAAGGCGGCAGCCGGCAAAGAACAAGCAGATGGAGCTGTCCGCATCGGCCTTCGCATATGTCGCCTCGTCGCCAAGGAAGTTGGTGATGCGCCCTTTCTTCGAACCTCCAGCGACGGCTTCGAGCGCAGCCTCTTCGGATCTCCTCTTGTCGTCGCGATCGTAAGTCATCCTCTCGTAATGTGCACGCACCGCCGCTCACACGTCGAATGGAACTTTCGTACACAGCCAAATGTCGCGAGATGCTGCACGCATCGAAATGCACCACCCTTGAACTCGATGGCGTAAAACTTGCAAATACGAACGACCCCGACGGTGTCGGGGAGGATCGGAACCTTAAAGTGATTAAACACCAAATGCGTACTATCCTCCTCCTGCCACTGCGCCTCCGAGTTCGAAGCAAAAGGACCAGTTGGGTCACTACCGGGAGATGGGACTGGGGTAGCCATATGCAGAGTGTTGTGTAAACAGAGAACTACAATATGAGTAGCGGGAGGAAAGAGCCAGATGAGAAATGTGATGAGGTGGGTCAAAGTTATACTTACCAGGAATTGGTTGTGGG